GCTCGTCGAGGCGCGCGAGCGGCTCGCCGAGCACGCGCCCCGCGGCTCGCTGCTACACACGCCCGACTCTGGCTGGCAGAGCGGCCAGACCTCGGACGCGTTCGAGGTGCTGATGCCGCTCTCTGCAGACGTCTCCACGGTCGAGGTGCGCGGCGCCCTACCCCCGGTCCCGGCCCCACGCCGCCCGCGCACGCCCGTGACACTTGCGCCGCGTCGCGTCGCCAGGATGCAGACAGGCTGCTGCGTGTCGCGGTGACGGCTCGCTCGGTGAGCGTGCACGTGGCGGGGCAGCCGGACGCGCCTCTGCTCGCGGGGGAGACGCACGGCAAGCTGCTCGTCGGAGGCTGCTCGTGGAGGCTGGCCCGCTCGAAGGTGCGCGGCTGGCGGGGCGAGCCTCTGCAGCAGCTCGAGCTCCACCTCGCCAAGGACACCGCCTCTGCAGGGCCGGGCGGCCACTGGCCGGACCTCTTCTCGACCGAGTACTCGTGAGGGGTCAGGGGAGGAGAGGGCGGCACAGCGCACGTTGAAGCAAGGAGGGCCCTGACTGTCTCTCGACTATGGCGCTCGGACGGCGTCTCGCGGAGCCGCGGAACCACCCGTGAACTTCGGTTGGCGGAGAGCGGAGGTGTGTGAGGACACTATTCAACTATCAACCATCATGTAAACGTCCGCCATACGCATACAGTGTGGACGGCGTCACGCGGAGAAGCCTCAAGCCCACCGGCTCACCAAGACTCTGTTTTGTATTCTCGCACTCGTGGAAATACGACGGAGGGAGAAAATCATGATCGTCGACCCATGATAGAATGGAAGCAAAGATGGACCTGTCAACTGACTCTCTCGCTGGAGACGGCGTCCGCATCGACACTCAGGCGGGTCGCGAACCAGCCTGCGAACAGCACCAAACCGAGAGCAAACCCGATGAGGACTTGCCGCGTGCAACGCTCCTGCGGGTCCTCCTTAGACGCAGGGGTTGGCATCGCAAGAGGATCCATGTTGCACGCCCGGCGGGTCGCAGCCGGGCCGCTTTCTCTAGGGAATCCCTACACCCCCTTGAAGGAAAAGAATTTGGGGTGCGGCGCACAGCCTGATTCACGCGAGTCAGGAACAGCGCTCCCCGAACCATCCCATGTTGTCTACTTTGCTCGCGTCGGCGCCGCCGGAGCGTTGTACAGAGAGCATATTCACTGAGCACCAACGACAGGTGTGACTACGCGCTCGTCTACGCCAAGAAGAAGAACGACGGCGAAGCGCCGAACTCGGTCTCCTTCACGGCGACGCAGAGCGGCGACGTCATCGTCCAGCTGCACCCGCACTCCCAGCTCGAGCGCGCTGTCCGCCATGAGCGGCAGGCGCAGGCCACGGAGCCGCCTACGAGCGCGAGCCCTGCGGCGCCGCCAGCCCCTGCCGCCGCGCCGCCAGCCGCGGAGCCGGCGTCCACCAAGACGTACGCCGCAGCAGCCGCATCGCACCCGCAGGGTGCCACCGCGGGTGGCCAGCCCGCCGCGTCTGCGGGCCC